TGTAGCCAAGCTTTGAGGTGGATTTGGTGCCATTCTTCGCTGATGATTGGTAACAATACTCTAGTTGTGTATAAAATACAGACAGAAAGTTATGTTCAGTTGAAGACTGCCTTATTCTCTTGCCCCGACTTCTCAATGTCTGTGCTGGAGCACTAAACACAGTTAATTCTACAAACAGGAGCCAGTACACATTTTATCACAGAGGTTTTATTATTTATTGCCAGTGAACCCACACACACACACCTCGTGTTAAACTAAGATAGCCTACTCAAGAGCCTCCAACAGCCTAGGGTGCGTTACGCACTAGTAAGCAGAGTAACATAAACGTCTGGATGGTTCTGCATTCTTTTAGCATACTTGTCCTCTCTTTGATTTTCTGCTCATGAGGGATGTCTGAAATGCAAACTTTGCATTATAGAGTATATTCATATATGAAGATATGTGTGAATGTGCTCTTCTGCTAATGTGCCCATGACAATGTCCAGGGAAAGGAGTGAGATAAACCACAAGTACACATCTTTTACCTGCATTACTGTAACCCCACCAATAGATGGGGCTTCTTAGTCACCCCATATGCAACCCCTTCAAAGCCAAAACAGATGTAAAGCATACTAGAGTTTTCAGCTGCCAATGTTTGACCTGTGGACATGCAACACCGATACAAGACTGATACTTGCATTAGTGGACAGAGTAGAAAGCAGAGGCCAGGTCATTCCTATATTTCATGGATTCTGGATTGAGCAGGTTTGTAAATGATTAAAAATTTGATCATTTTTAGTGTTATTAGAGGGAGAAAATGTCATTTAAATTCACTTGCTAGAAAATGTATCCACATTGCATTTTACAGTGCAATGTGCAACGGTGGATGTTTTAAGCAAATCAAGGCCGTTAATTGCTAAGAAAGAACAACATGTTAGCAAATGATTAACATTCAGGAAGAATTTTAATAGATATGTAAAATCTATTTAGAAAAATAAACAAGCATTTTCATGTCCAGTATAAATTGACAAAATAGGATGGACGTTATGTTTTACGCTATTAGATAAGTCTTTTAAAAATGAGAAAAAGAGAGAAAAGATTCTGACAAATACTTTGTTCTTGGAGTTGCTTTCATTCCAAAGAAATGACGTCACTTCTAGCAAGTCACATGATTTAGATATGCCAATGTAACAGGGCAAACTGGAGTTTCAGAGACATAAACTAATTGAATGGTTTTACATTTTAAAAAATGCATTAAAAAAATGGTATTTTGTCAAAGAAAATAAGTAAATGTATATACTAATAATGAAAAATTAGAAATATAAATGTAACATTTACTTCGATGTGAATTTGAAACATGATTGGGGACATGGGAATTTGTGAAGTGCTTCAAAAAGTTGTTTTTTCTATCTTTTTTTCCTATCTTTTTATTTCTTATACTAATCATGTGTTAATTGGGCTACACTTGTAAGCATACATGGGAACAATGTGGCATTAAAGTTGCATTCTATGTCACATTTTATGCAAAATATGCAGTATTGTTTCATGGGAAACATAAAATCTTGTAGAAATGACCCGGCCATGGAAGCATTATAGTCATAGTGATAGCTAGACTGGATTACTAGAAGATTATATAGTGATAAAGTTTCTCTCTAAACCTTTAGTTTCTGTTCCAAGATGCAACTGGGTGACAGGTTGGATGGAGAATCCTGATAAACCGTGTCATATGCTAATCTGTCTTTTAGCCTTTTAATACTCTCGATTCATAAAGTACTGTACTGTAAGAGAGCTTAGACTGAACCATCACAGCATGCCCAGAGGAAAATACACAAGAAGCTTAACAAACAGAGGCTGAGATGAAGGCACATTGGAAAACCATACCTTTTCTTTGATTACAATTTCTTTGGCCTGATTTCCTTTCGTGTCCCATTCTAGGCAGGAAACATAGCTACACAATGTGGTAAAACAAATCTTTTCATGCTTATTAGGAGAATGTCATGTGAACATGAGGACAAATGGGGGAGGGATGAGTTCATGTGATGGGAAAGAAATGTGACATATAGTGAATGACAACGAGGGCAAAGGGTAGTTAAATAAATGGAAGAAAGATAATGTGTATTGAGAGAAAAAAGTAAAAGAGAGAGGAAAAAAGAGAGGGTGAGGAGAGCATTAAAAGTCTCAATACTGGTCACCAGTGTGAAAAGGCCATGCCAGTCTGGATAAGGATCTGTGGGGTTACATGCCCATGAGGCCAGGGGCTGTCTGCCCTCACATACAGGGGGTCGGGCTTGGTGCTATATCAGAGAGAGTGCCGAAGTACACACAGTAATATGAGCTAAATAATCTCTGCCTCTCACTCACAAGGCAAAGAAGAAGCAAAAGAAAGGAAAAGAAGAAATGTAAAAAGTGAACCACAGTCAATACATCCAAACCTCAGTGAGCGGGTTAGTTTTTTTGTCCATGGTTTAAAAGGCAAACAGGCATCACTGTCTGCAAAAAACACACTAGACATCATTTCACCATAAGTTTCACAATGTGAATTTTCAAACCCATTTAATTACAGTAAGTGCCTTTGATATTGCCTTTGCTTAGTTGCTTGGCAGGTTGTGTGTGTGTGTGTGTGTGTGTGTGTGTGTGTGTGTGTGTGTGTGTTAATAATAGTTAAAAAACTAAAAAAGACTATTATTTACTCGACTAGTTTTTTTGCTCAAATTAATATTTCACAACGACTACAAACTGGTGTGGGTGTGTGTGTGTTAATAATAGTTAAAAAACTAAAAAATACTATTATTTACTCGACTAGTTTTTTTGCTCAAATTAATATTTCACAACGACTACAAACTGTTAACGAATACAACAACTTTTTATTTATCTATTGTATGTTCGTTTGTGAAAGAGAAGCAGTAATATTCGCCACTCCGTTGACAAAATGTTTATAACTAGCACCCTTAAATATATATAAAGTTAGATTCTTCTAAATTTGTTCATTTTGGGAAAATACAAACCAGCACTTTAAAAAGCAATTTCGAAAATCTGTTTTAGAAACCCAAAATGAATAGCAGTGTGTGTGTGTGTGTGTTAATAATAGTTAAAAAACTAAAAAAGACTATTATTTACTCGACTAGTTTTTTTGCTCAAATTAATATTTCACAACGACTACAAACTGTTAACGAATACAACAACTTTTTATTTATCTATTGTATGTTCGTTTGTGAAAGAGAAGCAGTAATATTCGCCACTCCGTTGACAATTTTTAGCGCTTCATCAATATGATTTAAGGTACTGAAAACTCCTAATCTCAAGCTTCTTACGTTTCCATGTAAACGTAAATCTTAAAATACATGTGTACATAATTTTTATCATACTTTTTTTTCCATCAGACGAAATTAACTTTAATTGTCATGTATAATATTAACAACTATATAACATAACAGGCAATGAGATGCCATCTTTTGCCCTATTTTTGTGCTTGTAGTGTCTTTTATATCATTACATATTATTGTTCTTCTTCTTCTTATTAGTAGTAGTAGTAGTAGTAGTGGTATTACCTTTCACCTTCACGTATGCAATGTCTTTATAAAAAAAAATAGAAAAAACTAACAAATAACAAAGAAAAAAACTCCTAAAATAAATATGCAACTATACGAAGTTCACCCCAGTAATAATGTCAAATAATTATTATAAAATTAATTATTATAAAATTAATTTAACAGGTCGCTGAAAAAGACAGTAGAAAAAAAAGTCATAAACATCAAGGATATATATATATATATATGTATATATAGAATTTTGTGTATTTGAATGTGTTTTATGCTTCTCCCCAGCGTTAACGTAACATTTAAAATTACAGGATTAACAAAGTCCTCAATTTCTCGCTATTTCTTAATTAAAAAGTATGGAAGAGGATTTGGATATGTACTCGCTAAATCATTACTGAAATAAGTTAGAAACTGTAACGATCACAGACGTCAAATTACAGATATTTTTAAATAAAATAGAACCAATAACAAACAAAATTAAAATACACTTTATAGTTTATAAAGCTCATAATTATTTTATTTTTATGTAGTAGGCTATAATTTAGGTTTTGATATTCACAAACTATGTTGTAAAATGTTTAGTCAAATAGCTTATAAATATTTGTCGTGATAAAATCACATGGTTTTTAAAATTAGCTTTAAGATAAATATACTATTTAATAACTGAAGCAAGACAAATATCACGTTACACCAAAGAAAGTAGGCTCATTTTTAAGAATCAGGTAACAGCTATCCGTTTACAATTTTAAAGAAAAAGAATTAGCCATTACATTGTTCTCATGCTTTATAGCGCCTAACAGGCCAAAAGACATCGATATTACTATTTCGTGCCAGTTTGGGTTCCTAACATATTTTTGTAATAATCAGCTTTTTTTAACAATCTAAATTATTTCGAACTGTTGATAAGTTCTGTTTTTCTATTTCTATGACGACAAGTGCTTAAAAATGCCATATGCGCTCAAATAAATATCCAGGGAGCCACATGTCTCCGATTTAAACAGAAAAACCAAACGCAACAATGTATTTGTCCGATTAGTGTGCTGTCAGGGCCAGGAACAAGTTTATTGCAATTTACTGTTAACGCTCGAAAAAAATATATAAAATTATAAAATTATATAAAAAATTATATAGGCCTACATATATTTAAAAAATTAATTTAATGAGTCAGTAAACGTAGGCGATCTAATAAGCTTGATGAAGCTTAGTGTTTTACAGATCCTAACCAGTAGGCCTACCAAAAAAATTATCCCGAACGTTTTAGCTGTGGTGTAAACATATTATTTGACATATTTAAATGCACAACATATCCTGGGATGCCCCGAAGAAGGCTGTCTCAATGCCAAACAGTGGCGTTTGCTGTAACGTTGTTGTGATGTAGCGACCGATCCGACCAATAGACGGAGCAGCATCCGATTCTACGAGATCCCCGGCTGACGCGATGCGATGATCCACTATCTGTATTTTGATTTGCTCCCTAATTGACCCAAATAAAGCCCTCTGTGACAGGGGTTCCACCGACCCTGAGGCACGATCAAAAGCGAAGTCGAATTGGAGCCGGTAATACCCTTTTACAAATAATCCCATTTGCTATTGTGCTCGTCCAATAGCAGAATGCCCTCCGCTTGTTAAGCATTTTACTTGACTTGGATTTTTCTTTACTACAGCCCCGCTTCTCTCTGGACTGGCGCCGTGGACGCAATAAGGATTTAATGCTGGAGCAGTGGTTGAGCGAGGATATTATTCGGCGAGGAAGGAATAGATGCTTTTTGCTTAGAATTCGCGCATCACCCGGTTATTGCTGTAACTGATAGCCTATATTTGTACGAGCAATGCATGACAAAAGCCAACAACAGCGTACTTCCACCACATCCAGTGGCTCGTCGTTTTTTATCGAGAATTTACTTGGCTCTTGTAGGACAGAAAAGTCCGTCCGTCCTTTAAAGGATAACGATGGCATGGAGCGAGAGATGGTTCTTAAGGCCAGCACTAAAGCGCATCGCAAAGAAATGTGCAGTCAAGCATCCAGCACAGGCTTCAAGACAGAGATGTGTCGGAGCGCACAATCACCCCTGGACTGGTATGGACGGGAAACCTCAGAGAGTAAGTTGCGGGATATTGTTCAAAACTCCTCATAATTAAGTCAAAAATCGTAAGTCAAAATAATATAGAGATTTCTTAATCTGAACAGTGGTATCTAAATTAAAGATTTAGTTTAAATGAGAACACAGGCTCAAATGGACTGTGCTTTTTTCTTGATGGAACAGGCTGACTTGCTCATTATTAGTTCCCAACTGAATAATTATTTTCCGTGTTAGTGTACAGCACCAATTATGCTACTGGTAGGTCCACATTAGTTTTAAGCCTCATTAGGTAAAACCAACAAAAGCAACTGGAAAGTGCGGAGCAGCCGAGTCACAATAAAAGACTTCCCAAACTCGTTAAAGGCTTAACAGTGCAATTGGTTTGTCTGATTCGTTAGCTCTGTAAAGCTGTGAAAGCCACAGGGAGAGGGTTGGCTGCGTTCACACAATAGCCTATTGCACTTAAGGGAACTCTCTGATTACGAGCTAGAGAGCAGATTTTTATATCACTTTGGGAACATCCGTCTGATCAATTACAGTATTATAACATGCATTTCTTAAACACTTATACGTTCCTTTAATCATTACTTTTAGCAGGTCCAAAAGAAGAAACTCGCCATTCCAGTAAACATTGCCGCAGCGACAGGGACACCCCAGTGGCCTCTGAGCTTCTTGATGGAGCAGTGGACCGAAAAACGAGCGAGTGTGTGGGTGACGAGGGTGAGGACGCTCGACAGCTTTTCGACGAGCGTTCTGGTCACGACACTTCCGAGCCAGGCTCGGCCCGGAAGAAAAAGACCCGAACTGTGTTCAGTAGAAGCCAAGTCTTCCAGCTAGAATCCACTTTCGACATGAAGAGATACCTTAGCAGTTCTGAGCGTGCTGGCTTCGCGGCCTCCCTGCACCTGACCGAGACGCAGGTGAAAATCTGGTTCCAGAACCGCAGAAACAAATGGAAAAGACAACTGACCGCGGATTTAGAGGCTGTTAATTTTAACCACATCTCCCAACGGATTGTACGGGTGCCCATCTTGTACCACGATAAAACGACACCCATGTCGACTCTCAGTTTTAACGTGTCTCAAGTCTCGCCACCAATCATGGGCTTCTCAAATTCAGTGAACTATCCATTATCGCCCTTTGCTCATTCAATGAATTTAATGACTTCGCAAATGACAGGCCTTGTCTGATCTATTGTCCGATGTATATTGACAATAGTGGACCAATGACAATTATCAATAATGTTTCTGAATGGTGCAATAACTGAGTTATACATATCCTGCTGGAAAATGTAGTACTGATGTCTCCTGCATCCAAAGAAAAGAAAACACCTATCACAAGATCACAAGAAAAATGACAAGTTTGTGTTAATTGTCACTGTTACCTTTCTATGATATATAGTCTTCTGTGCATGGGGGCCCTCACCAATATAAGGGCAACACTTGCTTTGTGCAAATATATTTTTATTCAGAAACACCGATTTGTAAGTTTTGTCACTTTTTCACATTATACATTTTAATAAACGAATCACGTTAAAGCAAGTATGATTTTCCTGTAAATGAGTTCTACTTCTATGAGCTTAGAAGACGTCAAGACTTTACTGGACAGCGGAAAACCAATATTCATTTATATGTACCATGCAAAATATATTTCCACAGGTGTCCAGATTATCTCGATTAGGTCTTCTTGGGGTATTGCCTTTGAAAAATATGATTTAATTTCAGAGCAGTAAATCAGTGCAACACCATTATTCACAAAGAAAAGGTGTGGTTAAAAAAGGCCCTCTTATCAGCAGTCCGTTCTTGCCAGAATACAACAGAAAACGCGATACTAAATTCAAACACTCTGTTGAATTGGATATGTACAATTTACGCAAAATAATACAGGCCTAATTTAAACGAATAAAGCTTAAATATCAACTGTATACATATACAGGTTCACAAATAAATCTCATACTCACTACAAAGCAGGCCCGCGACTACCGGGCAATAAAATATTCACTTGCCAATTTGACAACTGAATAATGATATGAAAATATGATTTAGCAATTTTAGGACAACATTATTTTATTACATTAAGTCATACAAAATCATATCATTATAGTTTAGAATGATTTCAGATGTATTTCAGGGTCCATTTGCATGTCCTGGATGCTTAAATGAAATCTTAATTGTGGCTACGGACTAAGGGTTCAGTAAAATAATATTTATTACAACATTATCATCCGTGTATGCTTTCAATGTTCAACAATTAGCTAAATTATTAAATGCCCCAGAAATAGCGACTTAAAATAACTAGAAAATCACTTAAGTCAATGTCTTTCATTTTTGTAATAGAGTAGTCATTGTACGGCTAAGATAGTTCAAAAATAATCATACAGCTGTTTCTGCAACAAACACTGCATTGCCACAAAATAAAAATGTTGTGTACTAAATGCAAAAGACAGCGAAACTTTGGTAAATAACCAGAGTACACATTTTTCAACATTCGGAATTATCTCACATGAAGTGCAAGAAGCAAAATCATTATTTTAACGATAAAGTTGCTATAATTAACTGAAAGTTCATCTGAAAAAGTCAAAGCCTACATTGACCTCCCTTTGTTCTGGAATTAACACCCCACAAGCATCATCAAACGAGCTGGAGAAGGCTGCAAAATAGGCCTCTTACTCTTTCCTTTTCTTAAGAGCTCTCATAAAAAAAAATAGTAAGCAGTGCAGTTCATATATTGAAATATGTGTACCAGATGTCTGGATAGGTCTGAGCTCTAACTCCCACCCCCCTCTGCCATTGGCCGCCGCGCTGTCTGATTCTCATGACCAATAAACGATGGGGAATCGTGCTCTTCCGGTTAGTGGACTAACAGTCTAGGCAAACGCAGCAGCACTGCACGCCGTGGAGCAATGGTGCTCGGAGAATTGAGACGTTAGTTTATGAAACGGCAAAAAGGAGACACTGACAGCAAGGACCCCGCATCTAACGGAGAATATGAGCAAGGAGGAGGCGTCATGTCGACCCGCTTCTTTGAAGTTTACCATTGACAACATCCTCAACTCCAAGTCGAGTAGCAGAAACTTTGATAGCTGTCATTCAAAGACATCTCTTGTAGTGTGTCGGGATGGCTGTCTGCATCATCCCGGAGGCAGCGAGGATCAATGCAAAGAAGAGTCAGATGTAGGATTGCACACCATTGGTAAGAATATTGTTTTTCATTTTGACACAAAACAGCTATAATATGTTATTAGTAGTAGCCTACTGTAATGTTTGAACGAATATTAATAGCATCTGCCTGGCTTTCAGATAAAGTCAACAGAGCGGGAGATGGAACCGTGGACGTGCTCAAACCCGTCGACACGCGCAGCGAGAGCACGGACAGCTGCGATGACAGGCAACAAAAGAACAACGGCAAGAAGAATAAACTGATGACGAAAAAGAAAACGCGCACTATATTTTCAAAAAGACAGATCTTCCAGCTGGAATCTACGTTTGACATGAAACGCTATCTGAGCAGCGCGGAGCGCGCGTGCCTGGCGAACTCTCTGCAGCTCACCGAGACTCAAGTCAAAATCTGGTTTCAGAATCGACGGAATAAATTAAAAAGACAACTGTCTACTGAACTGGAGGGACCGACTAGCGATTTCAGTGATATTGGAAAGACGGTACCGCTCCCCGTTTTATATAAAGAGAATAATCTGCTCGGAAGGTGCATGCTTCCAATGCCTCTACCAGTCGTGTATCCTGGAGGTAGCGCGCCTTACTTTTATTTCTCAAATACCAGCAAGTATTTCAGCCTGTTTGATGGAGATATGAGATGAGATATGACTTAGAAAAGACCCTTGCACAGGGGACACAGTATAGCTCTAACAAAACCGACAACACGGCCCAATTTAAATTTTGATAACAAACATTATCGGCCTTTTTGTGTGTTTTGCTGAGAACATTGTTCAGCTATCGGTCAGTAAAGAAGCTGGCTTGTATTTCTATGCAAAAGCCTATTTTATTTATTGTATGCTGTACCAAATTTTATAAAAATAATAACACCTAGCATAGCCTATTATACCCCGATTTCAGTGCATCACATATACTGGCAGAAATGCCAGTGCCAGTCACCCTGTCTTCACATGACAGGAAATTATAACACAAATGTTTTACTGTTTACATTTTTATTATTATTATTATTATTATTATTACATAATATGCATGCCTTTGTATTTTAAATGGCCCTCTAATTCCAAAATGAGCAATTAAAACGTATTTAAGAGAACGTATTGGTTATTTTACTTTTAACGCATGTTTGTATGTTTATTCCTTTTAGTTTTTTATCGTTTTCAGTATAAATTGGCCAGTTAAGTAGGCTATACTACCAGTATTTACATCTTTTATCGAGTGTCATTAAATGTTCTGTTTTACACTTGCTTCAAAAGAAAACTTTTGTGTCCTGGCTTTTTTGTATTAGTAACTTTTTATCCATTTAAGAACGTTATATAGGCTATAGTTGTTGTAGTTTTGATAGGCTGTTGAATCAGTTATAGCCTAAATATCATTGCAAACTAGGTCAGACTCACGGGTGTTTATTAAACACGTGAGTCTCATTAGAAATGTTAGAGTCTCATGATCTTGAGGAATTATCTATGGCAAGCCAACAAAATCTCACCGGAAAACAAAGTAAATTCCGATGACCAAGCCTATTATACTCGGACTAAGTCTCAGGGTTACAGACCCCAATTGGCGGCTTATTTCACCTGAGGATTTATCCTCTAACTCTGTAAAAAAGTACAAACGCGGAAATGTGTTACCTACGTCAGTGCAAATAGGCATTACAAAGCTCTACAAAGGTGCACTTTTACACGCAGTTAGTGCTTTATGCAGCCTTCTTGAGGAATTATCTATGGCAAGCCAACAAAATCTCACCGGAAAACAAAGTAAATTCCGATGACCAAGCCTATTATACTCGGACTAAGTCTCAGGGTTACAGACCCCAATTGGCGGCTTATTTCACCTGAGGATTTATCCTCTAACTCTGTAAAAAAGTACAAACGCGGAAATGTATTACCTACGTCAGTGAAAATAGGCATTACAAAGCTCTACAAAGGTGCACTTTTACACGCAGTTAGTGCTTTATGCAGCCCACTTCAAGTGTTCCACGTCATACACATTACTCAGTGTTCATCAATATATTTTAAAACGAATAGCTGAGATTAATTTACGTGGTTGTCAGAGCTCAACAGCAATACTTTTATTATTATTTTTTTCCCCCCAAAATTAATTTTTTTTATTTGTGTCCTAAACAATCTAAATAATTTGCGTGTACGAGTGAGTAATTTATATATAGTTTAAACGTTAGATGTTAGAATCTCGACGTTAGCCTTTACTCTGAAAAGAACATGATTTTGTCATTACAACAGTTACATTCTTTATTTCATTCTTAACACATTCTTTATTTCATTCTTTTATATCATTATTAATTCTTGTTTTTTATGAGGTCATGTTAGGCCAAGGTACAGTTTCCACTGAAAGTGTGAAACTTAAGAAGGTGTCTGTTGTCATTTGGGTCCTGCTCTTCAGCTCTGTTATTCACAGACTCTTGACCTAATTTAATTCTTTCAGCCGCTGAAGACGTGGCAAACGATGTCTTGCTATTCTTTATCTCTCGCAGTGGTAGCAACTAATAAGTTATTAACTAAGTAAGACACGTAATTATTAAAAGTTTTATAACGCTTGATAATTGTTTTTCCAAAAAGCAATAATGTTGACTGACGTTATTTGCCCGAGGATAACGAAGAGGGATTACCTTAAGGTTAAGTGTTTAATTTTCGACGAGCGTTCTAGTGTAAAATTAGTTGTTTGTAAACAAGCTAAAACGTTATGATCATCTCTTTTTACACTTTTTACTACTCTCGACTGCAGCGATTAGCTAACAATTCAGTCATATAGCTATAGTGAAACAGAGATGTCACTTCAAAAATTTATTCTAGAAAATTTTAAACGACAAACAACACATTCAAATCGACTTTAACATTAAACATGTAAGAAAAAATAAAACGCCTCGACTGTTGCTTTATTTAAGCTATAAGCCAGAGCACTGAATACAGGTAACATACAATTCTCTAACGACATGAGTATTTTTAAACCTCGCTCAGATCTTGGGATGATTTTTTAAATGTTTTTCAATGGTTTCCTGTCACTGAAATAGTTTGTTATGGATTTCAACCTGTGGAAAATTAAAGTTACTTAAGGCTCAATACCCTTTACCATCTGAATATATTTTTGGAGACAATAAATATTTTAAAAACAACTGTAATACAAGTAGACAAAACTTTGGAAGCTTTCGACAACTTGCTGGATAATGTGGCATAGTATTTCTTTTACAGTATGCAACAATTTCACGCACCTGGAAAAGCGTTTAATACTACAATCTTTATATAGGTCTTAATATCTCAAGCATTAATGGGTTGAATGCTTTGTATCAATGATGTAACCTCATAATCAAAATGTGGTTTTGAATAAGGCACTATGGAAATACTAGTTGACCACTGCGAAT